TTTTTGGTATATGATTTGAAGTTTAGATCAATGCTTATTTTTCTTCTTCTACGGAGTCAGTTGGTACAGTCACTATTATTGAAAAACTGCCTTTTTCCTTCGCTCTTACTGTTACATTAGTCATAAACAGTGTCCATACATTTCTGCATCTCTTTCCACAGTTTCTATTTATTTCATTCATGTAATTACTATTCGTGTTACATCAATTTCACCCTGTCTTAATTAATGTAGGTTTGCACCAATATAATATATAACTTATATATGATAATGTGTTACAGAGCTGTGGTTCTCAAACTTAGTTGCATATTAGAAAAACCGGGAAATATTAAAACTATAGGTGCCTGGGTCTCTCCTCAAGAGATAAGAAATTTTTTTACATAGGAGATAGGTATCACTATCAAATTTTTAAAAATCTCCTTGATGAATATGACATACAGCCCAATTTGAGAACTGCTAGTTCTCTACTACTATGGAATAAGGTACCCCAATTTATGATTCTCCTTCAAGTTTGGCAGCTTGAATTTTCATATACATTTTAGAATTATCAACTTCCACAAAACTTCTGACATTTTGATTACCAGTGCATTGGTTTGGAGAAAATTGGCATCATATTGTCTTCTGATCCATGAACTTCATATAGTTATCCAGTTATATAGTTTTCTTTTCATTTTATAACTTTTGTATTTGTGTGTGGAGTTCTTACACTTCTTTTTCAGATTAATTCTTATTTGATTGTTTTCATTTCATTATAAATGGCATCTTTTGAAACTTTCATTTTCTTTTTGTTGTGTTCATTGAATTGTAAGAATATATCTTTAGATTATTTTGGATATATTATGTACACATTTATGTTTTCTGTGAATATTGATAGATGTTATTTATTATTTTTAATATTTATACTTTTTGTTTTTCTTCAGTTTAAGAACTGGCTAGTGTTTCTAGTATAATTTTGAATAAGAATAAAGATAAAGGAACTTCTATTTTTATTCACAACCATTGATAGAAAGTTTCAATAATTCATCTTTAAATATAACATTTAAGTAAAAAAAAGTTTCTAATATTCTAATAATTTTATTTGATCATGAATATATAATTTCTCAAATATTCTTTCTATAACTTTTATGACTACTACATGTAACATATATATAACATTGATATTTTAAAATATTAAACAAGAATTTAACTTGCAAAATAAAACCAATTTGGTCATATAACACTGAATTTAGTTTACCAGTGTTTTGGGGGGGATTTTTGTATCTCTTTCAGAAAATGAAATTAACTAAAAATTTTTATTTCTTGTGATATCTTAGACAGATTTTTGTATTGAGTTATGTTGAACTTATGAAACTTCCTGGGTAGAGTCTTTTTCTATTCTTCTAAAGATGTTGTGCAAATTCGATGTTACTTCTTACTTAAATGTTTATAGAATTCCAAATGAAGTCATTCTGACATGGAATTTCTAATGTACGAATATTTTTAATTATTTTAATTTTTTAAATGTCTTCCCATCCATGAGCATAATTTATTTCTCATTAAAACAAACAAAAAAACTCAATAAAATCCCATCTTGTAGATCACTTATTAGAGTTTAATAAAATGTCTCTATAGAGATCTTGCGTATCTTAGCCGAGTTCCTAGAATGCACATACATACGCATGTGTATATGTATTGCTATATTGACTGATAATTCTTTTTTCTTACTGGTTATCACTGAAGTGGGAAATGCAAGTAAATATTAGCAGTACTGATAAACTCTATCATTAATTATAATGGTTTATCTTTTTTATTTCATTTGTTTTCCTAAATAGATATTGATGTAATTAAAATAATAAG